GTTTTATCGAACCATTGGCCGTGTATATGTATTGTAATTTTTTGGAAACATATTCAATCAGCCATTTTACTTTTTAAAAAGTAAGTTGCATCGTTTCAGCCGACAAAACAGATTCCTAGCTTTGAAATTAAGGGAGTAATTGTTTGCTTTACCGCAAGCTTAAAGTATGAACCTCCTTATAGGAAAAAATTTTATTCATTTCAAAGTTATTGAATTATCAGAACTTTTATTTTTAAAATTATAAAATCTGGGAAACAAAATTTATTTGGTCGTTTTCTATCATGAAAGATTAGGTACCAGATACATTATTCAAATTATGTTTTCCGTGACCATTTTTTAAAGTAATTGATAATAGCAAAATGAGCAAAGTAATCAGTCTGTTGCTATTGTTTTGTTAACTTTCCTGATAAAAATCAATCAATCAGATTGTTTTGTTTTTAAAAATTAATCATTCAATACATTCAAAATCGATCACGGAAAAATCATCTAAACTAGAAAAGTCATCTAAATCATTTTTTGAAAAATGTCATGAAATTTTTAAAAATCTCTTATATGATTTTATATCGCTTTTCCCAGTTGTAGGTCGGCTTTGATAAAAATTGCTCTTGACTTTTTCCCCTATGTAGACTATTTTTTAATTTCAAATGGCCACAGTTAGTTGTTTCAATTCAGATTATAAAAGATAGAAAAATAAAGGAAATCCAATTAAAAACTCTGCAACGAAATGTTGGACTTTAAACGAGAAATATTGGAAGTGTATAATGCACTTAATTCACATTAGTGATAAACTGCAGGTTCGATCCGTTCAATTAATTTTTGAAAAACTGTAACAAGCCTGCTCGTATCAGGGTGAAGCCCTCAATGTTCCGATTGCCTTTTAGTTTTGATGGAAAAATTTAAAACAAAATAATTCATGTTTTCGAAAAAAAAACTTTAACAATTACGTTTGGTGTTTTCAAAAAAAAATTTTAGTTATGTTTAATGTTTTTTTTGAATATCATCCTCCCACACGCTATGTAAACTAAAAAAAAAGATTTATTTAGCACATAGCAAAATTTTAAGTAGAATAAAAAGCATGCCGCAATCCATTTTTGAACGATTTTTAAAGGGATTAAATCTCCGGGTACGCGTTAATAGCACGAAAAATATGGCGCGCCAGTTATACCTAATTGGCAACTTTTAAACCCCCATACCTTTAGAAAAAATGATCACAAGTGAAATATCTTCTCAAATTTGTGCTCAGGGCAGCAGTAACGTTAGAATGATTTTAACTTTTTTTTTCTAAAGTTGCTAGTTAACAAGCCGAAAATTGTCTGGACGAAAAAATTCCATCCCGAGCACAAATATTTTGCCACTTTTTTCAAATTTTGGAACAATAATTCATTTTATTTTAAAAATAACTAGAGCTGCTAAAAATTTACAGAAGTTCTGCGCTGCGATAAGTCACATAATTTGAGCAAACATACAGTAGCCTACGAAACGAAATTCCATCTTGCACAAATTCGAGCCGTGGGTTCCCATGATTAACTTCATTACTGCATTAAAGATTTGAAAATTGCGGCTTCGCTTTGAACTGACTATAAAACACTGTAGTTTTAATTGACTGTTTCTGCTAGTAAAGAGATTCTTTGGCAAAACTCTATGTTCAGCTAATCTGCAAAAGTGGACTTCGCATACAACAGGAAAAAAACAACAAGGATTAAGCTAGTTGAAACTAAGTTGTGCTTTTATAAATCATTTTTAATATTGACTGAAAAAATTTGATTTTTTTTTTTCACAAAAATTATATATTTTTTTCAGATTCTTAAAGCCTCACGCGCAACTGTAATTCTTTCAGATGATATAAAAAATTTAACAATCCCTTAAAATCGGCCAAAATTGTTTGAAAAGTGTGCGAAACAAAAAACAGACAGAGCAGAAAAAAGCACTTTTTCTGTTGCTGGAACCTTTACAAAAGCCTGTACTAAAATCATCAATCTCATCGTGCTTTAGACTTGAAATTGAATACAGCACGTGAAAAAAATGAGCTACTTGGGTTATCGAACTATAAAATATAATTTACCTTAAGTAAAAATTTTGTACATTAGGAGATGGAGAACGCATCAGAAAACGTCATGATTAGAAATCACATATCTCCCGATCATCAGTGCGGAAATCGTTAACACTAAGAAAATTTCGAAGATTTCCAGAAAAACTCAATAGCTTGTTGTCTAGATTGTAGAGAACTTAAAACTGAATTATCAATTTTGTGAAATTTTTTTTTATTGGTTGCAAAATTTCAAGTATGAAACTGTTATCAAATGTTGAAAAAAATTCGAAATTTTTTTCCCTTTAAACCAAATTAAGCTATTATATCTGTAGGGCGCAAGTTTTTTTTCTCAATTTCTCTGGCTTAAACACTGATTCTATCCTTAACTTACAGAGTTTCATGACGTAGCAGGCAAGTTTTTCGCTGTTTTAGTCAAATCGTAAGCACAAGGCTCATTGCATAAGTTGAAATAGTAATGGTTACTTTTTTCCTTAACTGTTGTTATTAAGGAATATATTGCGCAAAAATTTTTCGATCGAAAAATTTGAACTACTTTGAATTCTGTTTCATTGCTAATCGGTATAACGAGGAACGGATCTAGGATTTCTCGAGAGGGGGGATTTTTAAAAAAATTTCAAAGTTTTTGTCGACCAAATTGCTTTTCCCAGCTCTCTTAAAACCCTTAAAAGACCTTTTTTTGGCCAAATTTTGTGCGCCGCAGAAAAATTTAAAAGAAAAAGGCCAAAAACAGCTCTTTGGGTATAACATAACTCCATATTATAGTTTTGTTTCTTATTTAATCTATCTTGAAATATTCACTGTCAAATGTTAAGCTTGAAATAGTTGAGTGAAAAAAGATCTTTAGTTACAGTATTTTGCCGTGTACTGAGCGCTTTTTGTCGAAATGAAATTTAAGATATGGCGCTTAAAGCTCAGTATTCTATCCAAATGTACACTGAAAGACAAACATCTTCGTTAAATTCTAGTTCAAAACCTTTCAATTGGATGCTAACAAGCGGTTGTGATTAATCAGAAGTAAAACCATTCAATTGGAAAAAGCAATTTTGAGCTTGTTTTTTTTTTCATCCAATTGAAGTCTAATAGTCCATATTTGTCTATTAATTAGCAATTTCTTGATTAAGAGTTCATGTTAAGCGTGCTTGTACTTCTTTTTTTGTAGCAAAGTTCCAACAATTATTGTTTCATCAAAATCGATGCTTTTGTCATCGTAAAAAAGACCTTTGAAACCAAATTTGTTTTTTTTTGAGCATGTGCCTCATAACGCAAAAATTGAATCAATATTGCAATTAGGGCAACTGCGCAGATAAAAAATCAATGATCGATTAAATACTCTGAAGCCAGCCAAATTTTTCAAAGTTTTTTGAATATTGAAAAAAATTGCGATGGCAACGATATAAATGATAACAACTGATTGGAACAAAAAAAAACAACAATCAGTCAGATTCGTACACATGGAAAAATTCAACCAGATTCAATCAAAAACGTTTTAAATTAATATTTTCAGTCTGACACCAACTTGGCTGCAATGCAATAAATTACTCGGAAGACTGTTGTAACATAAGAAAACAGCCTCAGTAGAAAATTGGCCAGAAAAACAAAAAATAATTGTTAAAGTATTTCAAAATATTTACGAATTTTTTTGCAAAGTTGTTTTTTTTTGATTTTTTGAAATTTTTCCTCCAAAATAGAGCTAAAAATTCCAAAACCAGATTACTAGTGAAACTAAGTTTCAACTACTTAAATTTATCCTAAACCAACTATTGTAGGCCTATTATTATTACTATTAAGAAAATTCAATTTTAAAAACCGGTTTTTCTCGACAATGAAGACTTTTTTAAAATTTTCATGTCGTTTGAATCACAATTGATAGGGTTTTAATATACTTTATCACTCAATTCTTTGCGATTATTTGTGGTACCTGATTTCGCGTGGACAACAAAAATGTTATAGAAAAAACTAAAACACCCGAATAAAAAGTTCCTCCCCATCTTTCAAATGGTCGGAACAAAAAAAAACTAGAAATTAGAGTTCACAACCACATCAGCCATTTAAAATATAAAGAGTGTACATCATAGGCCAATTGAAGCGCGAAAATGAAACCAATTAAAGAAATAATTTGAAAAAAATTTTCCTTAAAAGCAGAATGCTCATTATTAGCAAGTTGGCTTGGGAAATGTGGATTCCGTGCGCTCGTGTTAAACGGGTACCAAAAAGTCGAATATCGACCGGAAGTTTTTGACAATTTACGACTCAAATTGTAAAACGCACACCGTGGAATATTTGGGCAGTTTATTTACCCGGCCAGTGCCACATGGTAAAAAAGACAGCTATTCAATTTTCAGCGGGGCAGCTACTGCTTTATAACGCCAAGAACTTCGCGAGTCGACTATCCTATTTCTGCGAAGATAAAAACAGCCAACGGACAATTACGATTTTGTTCCCTAATCAGATTTTTAAAAATGTGTGACCAGCTGCGAAAAAGCTCGATGAATAATATATTAGACATTGATTCAATAACTTGCCGTCTGACAACGCGGTCAAGACTAAAGGTATATTGTGTGTACCAAACATGTACACAAATGGTAATTGCTGTTTCTGTTAAATTAACTACTGCACAGAAAAACAATTATCCCAAACCTCTTTCAATAGATTTATTTTGAGCATGGGGTGCTATAAGATCTGCCAGTATTGAGCCCCTAACGCAGTAAATTTATTTCTCAATTATAAACTCCGAAGTATTTTAACACCAATCCGAAGTATTACCGCGAAAAACGGGTCAAATGCAAAAATTAGAGCGACAAATCACGATATAAATAAGTGTCTTCATTTTGTTTAATTTTCTAGAAAAATTGGGTAGGATCTCAACATAAGTTTATTCTAATTAACACTCTGGCGTAGTTTCTCGTTGAGGCTTCAACTCACTAGCGTATAGCTATTTTCAAAACAAAAGTACGTGAATTAGTAAATTTTCAGGCATAATTTCAGTCAGTATAATATTCGAATACTTTTCAACAGTTCAGGTAAGGTGCTAAAATGCAGCTTTGACATCAAGTACTTGATATACTTTTCACGTTAATATACACGTTAATAGCTTCTGCTATGCAATATTCAAATTCAGCCTACAACTTTCTACATCTATTCAGTCACAAGTTACCAGTCGAGATGAACTAAACAATTAATTGGTCATACCTGAAATTGTTTAGTTCAACAGTCGTTATTCAATAAAAAACAGTTCAATCAAATAAAAACAGCCTAGAGTTGTTTAGCGTTGTGATTACAGTTTCAAATAGTGTTCATGTGCGTAGTGAAGCCATTGTTTTGGTTCGTTAGTGTGAACTTCTATTCCATCCTTCCGTTGTGTTGGTGATCTACTTCTGTCGGGGGTTCTTGAAGTTCTTTCCTGCATACACCGCCTTGTCGCCCAATTCCTCTTCAATTCGCAGCAGTTGGTTATACTTTGCCAATCGTTCGCTTCGGCATGGGGCTCCAGTCTTGATCTGACCAGTAGCCAGACCCACAACCAGATCCGCGATGAAGGTATCCTCGGTTTCTCCGCTTCTGTGACTAACCATCACTCCCCATCCATTATCCATTGCCAAATTAGCAGCAGTGATCGACTCAGTCACTGAACCAATCTGGTTGACCTTGAGGAGAAGACAGTTGCATGCCTTCTTATCAATCGCGGTCTGGATCCTAGTCGGGTTAGTTACGGTCAAGTCATCACCGACCAACTGGATCTTGCCTCCAGTCTTAGTCATGAACGCACTCCAGTCATCCCACGCATCCTGGTCAAATGCGTCTTCAATTGACACCATCGGGTAGTCCTTGATAAATTCCGAATACAGATCCGACAATTGTGTCGGAGAGATGATCTTGGTCTGGTCTGGAGAAACGCTCTTGAAGTCCAGATTGTACTTGCCCTCTTGGAAAAATTCACTTGCAGCAACGTCCATTCCGAGCTCAACTTTGCCTTCATACCCTGCCTTCTTGATCGCTTCTATCAGCATGTTCAGACCCTCATTGTTATCCTGAATATTGGGAGCGAATCCTCCCTCATCACCTACAGCTGTTGCGTCCAGTCCGTACTTCTTTTTGATCACACCCTTCAAAGTGTGATAGACCTCTGCTCCAATTTGCATGGCCTCCTTGAATGAAGATGCACCTGTAGGCAGGATCATGAACTCCTGCATGGCTAGTTTGTTGCCGGCGTGGCTTCCGCCATTGATCACGTTGAACGCGGGAACTGGCATCACAACCTGGAGAAAAGATAATGGTAGCCTTTTAGTTTTGATGGAAAAATTTAAAACAAAATAATTCATGTTTTCGAAAAAAAACTTTAACAATTACGTTTGGTGTTTTCAAAAAAAAATTTTAGTTATGTTTAATGTTTTTTTTGAATATCATCCTCCCACACGCTATGTAAACTAAAAAAAAAGATTTATTTAGCACATAGCAAAATTTTAAGTAGAATAAAAAGCATGCCGCAATCCATTTTTGAACGATTTTTAAAGGGATTAAATCTCCGGGTACGCGTTAATAGCACGAAAAATATGGCGCGCCAGTTATACCAAATTGGCAACTTTTAAACCCCCATACCTTTAGAAAAAATGATCACAAGTGAAATATCTTCTCAAATTTGTGCTCAGGGCAGCAGTAACGTTAGAATGATTTTAACTTTTTTTTTCTAAAGTTGCTAGTTAACAAGCCGAAAATTGTCTGGACGAAAAAATTCCATCCCGAGCACAAATATTTTGCCACTTTTTTCAAATTTTGGAACAATAATTCATTTTATTTTAAAAATAACTAGAGCTGCTAAAAATTTACAGAAGTTCTGCGCTGCGATAAGTCACATAATTTGAGCAAACATACAGTAGCCTACGAGACGAAATTCCATCTTGCACAAATTCGAGCCGTGGGTTCCCATGATTAACTTCATTACTGCATTAAAGATTTGAAAATTGCGGCTTCGCTTTGAACTGACTATAAAACACTGTAGTTTTAATTGACTGTTTCTGCTAGTAAAGAGATTCTTTGGCAAAACTCTATGTTCAGCTAATCTGCAAAAGTGGACTTCGCATACAACAGGAAAAAAACAACAAGGATTACGCTAGTTGAAACTAAGTTGTGCTTTTATAAATCATTTTTAATATTGACTGAAAAAATTTGATTTTTTTTTTTACAAAAATTATATATTTTTTTCAGATTCTTAAAGCCTCACGCGCAACTGTAATTCTTTCAGATGATATAAAAAATTTAACAATCCCTTAAAATCGGCCAAAATTGTTTGAAAAGTGTGCGAAACAAAAAACAGACAGAGCAGAAAAAAGCACTTTTTCTGTTGCTGGAACCTTTACAAAAGCCTGTACTAAAATCATCAATCTCATCGTGCTTTAGACTTGAAATTGAATACAGCACGTGAAAAAAATGAGCTACTTGGGTTATCGAACTATAACATATAATTTACCTTAAGTAAAAATTTTGTACATTAGGAGATGGAGAACGCATCAGAAAACGTCATGATTAGAAATCACATATCTCCCGATCATCAGTGCGGAAATCGTTAACACTAAAAAAATTTCGAAGATTTCCAGAAAAACTCAATAGCTTGTTGTCTAGATTGTAGAGAACTTAAAACTGAATTATCAATTTTGTGAAATTTTTTTTTATTGGTTGCAAAATTTCAAGTATGAAACTGTTATCAAATGTTGAAAAAAATTCGAAATTTTTTCCCTTTAAACCAAATTAAGCTATTATATCTGTAGGGCGCAAGTTTTTTTTCTCAATTTCTCTGGCTTAAACACTGATTCTATCCTTAACTTACAGAATTTCATGACGTAGCAGGCAAGTTTTTCGCTGTTTTAGTCAAATCGTAAGCACAAGGCTCATTGCATAAGTTGAAATAGTAATGGTTACTTTTTTCCTTAACTGTTGTTATTAAGGAATATATTGCGCAAAAATTTTTCGATCGAAAAATTTGAACTACTTTGAATTCTGTTTCATTGCTAATCGGTATAACGAGGAACGGATCTAGGATTTCTCGAGAGGGGGGATTTTTAAAAAAATTTCAAAGTTTTTGTCGACCAAATTGCTTTTCCCAGCTCTCTTAAAACCCTTAAAAGACCTTTTTTTGGCCAAATTTTGTGCGCCGCAGAAAAATTTAAAAGAAAAAGGCCAAAAACAGCTCTTTGGGTATAACATAACTCCATATTATAGTTTTGTTTCTTATTTAATCTATCTTGAAATATTCACTGTCAAATGTTAAGCTTGAAATAGTTGAGTGAAAAAAGATCTTTAGTTACAGTATTTTGCCGTGTACTGAGCGCTTTTTGTCGAAATGAAATTTAAGATATGGCGCTTAAAGCTCAGTATTCTATCCAAATGTACACTGAAAGACAAACATCTTCGTTAAATTCTAGTTCAAAACCTTTCAATTGGATGCTAACAAGCGGTTGTGATTAATCAGAAGTAAAACCATTCAATTGGAAAAAGCAATTTTGAGCTTGTTTTTTTTTTCATCCAATTGAAGTCTAATAGTCCATATTTGTCTATTAATTAGCAATTTCTTGATTAAGAGTTCATGTTAAGCGTGCTTGTACTTCTTTTTTTGTAGCAAAGTTCCAACAATTATTGTTTCATCAAAATCGATGCTTTTGTCATCGTAAAAAAGACCTTTGAAACCAAATTTGTTTTTTTTTGAGCATGTGCCTCATAACGCAAAAATTGAATCAATATTGCAATTAGGGCAACTGCGCAGATAAAAAATCAATGATCGATTAAATACTCTGAAGCCAGCCAAATTTTTCAAAGTTTTTTGAATATTGAAAAAAATTGCGATGGCAACGATATAAATGATAACAACTGATTGGAACAAAAAAAAACAACAATCAGTCAGATTCGTACACATGGAAAAATTCAACCAGATTCAATCAAAAACGTTTTAAAATTAATATTTTCAGTCTGACACCAACTTGGCTGCAATGCAATAAATTACTCGGAAGACTGTTGTAACATAAGAAAACAGCCTCAGTAGAAAATTGGCCAGAAAAACAAAAAATAATTGTTAAAGTATTTCAAAATATTTACGAATTTTTTTGCAAAGTTGTTTTTTTTTTGATTTTTTGAAATTTTTCCTCCAAAATAGAGCTAAAAATTCCAAAACCAGATTACTAGTGAAACTAAGTTTCAACTACTTAAATTTATCCTAAACCAACTATTGTAGGCCTATTATTATTACTATTAAGAAAATTCAATTTTAAAAACCGGTTTTTCTCGACAATGAAGACTTTTTTAAAATTTTCATGTCGTTTGAATCACAATTGATAGGGTTTTAATATACTTTATCACTCAATTCTTTGCGATTATTTGTGGTACCTGATTTCGCGTGGACAACAAAAATGTAATAGAAAAAACTAAAACACCCGAATAAAAAGTTCCTCCCCATCTTTCAAATGGTCGGAACAAAAAAAAACTAGAAATTAGAGTTCACAACCACATCAGCCATTTAAAATATAAAGAGTGTACATCATAGGCCAATTGAAGCGCGAAAATGAAACCCAATTAAAGAAATAATTTGAAAAAAATTTTCCTTAAAAGCAGAATGCTCATTATTAGCAAGTTGGCTTGGGAAATGTGGATTCCGTGCGCTCGTGTTAAACGGGTACCAAAAAGTCGAATATCGACCGGAAGTTTTTGACAATTTACGACTCAAATTGTAAAACGCACACCGTGGAATATTTGGGCAGTTTATTTACCCGGCCAGTGCCACATGGTAAAAAAGACAGCTATTCAATTTTCAGCGGGGCAGCTACTGCTTTATAACGCCAAGAACTTCGCGAGTCGACTATCCTATTTCTGCGAAGATAAAAACAGCCAACGGACAATTACGATTTTGTTCCCTAATCAGATTTTTAAAAATGTGTGACCAGCTGCGAAAAAGCTCGATGAATAATATATTAGACATTGATTCAATAACTTGCCGTCTGACAACGCGGTCAAGACTAAAGGTATATTGTGTGTACCAAACATGTACACAAATGGTAATTGCTGTTTCTGTTAAATTAACTACTGCACAGAAAAACAATTATCCCAAACCTCTTTCAATAGATTTATTTTGAGCATGGGGTGCTATAAGATCTGCCAGTATTGAGCCCCTAACGCAGTAAATTTATTTCTCAATTATAAACTCCGAAGTATTTTAACACCAATCCGAAGTATTACCGCGAAAAACGGGTCAAATGCAAAAATTAGAGCGACAAATCACGATATAAATAAGTGTCTTCATTTTGTTTAATTTTCTAGAAAAATTGGGTAGGATCTCAACATAAGTTTATTCTAATTAACACTCTGGCGTAGTTTCTCGTTGAGGCTTCAACTCACTAGCGTATAGCTATTTTCAAAACAAAAGTACGTGAATTAGTAAATTTTCAGGCATAATTTCAGTCAGTATAATATTCGAATACTTTTCAACAGTTCAGGTAAGGTGCTAAAATGCAGCTTTGACATCAAGTACTTGATATACTTTTCACGTTAATATACACGTTAATAGCTTCTGCTATGCAATATTCAAATTCAGCCTACAACTTTCTACATCTATTCAGTCACAAGTTACCAGTCGAGATGAACTAAACAATTAATTGGTCATACCTGAAATTGTTTAGTTCAACAGTCGTTATTCAATAAAAAAGTTCAATCAAATAAAAACAGCCTAGAGTTGTTTAGCGTTGTGATTACAGTTTCAAATAGTGTTCATGTGCGTAGTGAAGCCATTGTTTTGGTTCGTTAGTGTGAACTTCTATTCCATCCTTCCGTTGTGTTGGTGATCTACTTCTGTCGGGGGTTCTTGAAGTTCTTTCCTGCATACACCGCCTTGTCGCCCAATTCCTCTTCAATTCGCAGCAGTTGGTTATACTTTGCCAATCGTTCGCTTCGGCATGGGGCTCCAGTCTTGATCTGACCAGTAGCCAGACCCACAACCAGATCCGCGATGAAGGTATCCTCGGTTTCTCCGCTTCTGTGACTAACCATCACTCCCCATCCATTATCCATTGCCAAATTAGCAGCAGTGATCGACTCAGTCACTGAACCAATCTGGTTGACCTTGAGGAGAAGACAGTTGCATGCCTTCTTATCAATCGCGGTCTGGATCCTAGTCGGGTTAGTTACGGTCAAGTCATCACCGACCAACTGGATCTTGCCTCCAGTCTTAGTCATGAACGCACTCCAGTCATCCCACGCATCCTGGTCAAATGCGTCTTCAATTGACACCATCGGGTAGTCCTTGATAAATTCCGAATACAGATCCGACAATTGTGTCGGAGAGATGATCTTGGTCTGGTCTGGAGAAACGCTCTTGAAGTCCAGATTGTACTTGCCCTCTTGGAAAAATTCACTTGCAGCAACGTCCATTCCGAGCTCAACTTTGCCTTCATACCCTGCCTTCTTGATCGCTTCTATCAGCATGTTCAGACCCTCATTGTTATCCTGAATATTGGGAGCGAATCCTCCCTCATCACCTACAGCTGTTGCGTCCAGTCCGTACTTCTTTTTGATCACACCCTTCAAAGTGTGATAGACCTCTGCTCCAATTTGCATGGCCTCCTTGAATGAAGATGCACCTGTAGGCAGGATCATGAACTCCTGCATGGCTAGTTTGTTGCCGGCGTGGCTTCCGCCATTGATCACGTTGAACGCGGGAACTGGCATCACAACCTGGAGAAAAGATAATGGTAGTCTTATCATGGACCTCTAAAACGGTCATACATTTCAGGGGGAGCGGTGGTTACGTCTCCGCCTCTCAATCGAAAGGTCGGATGTTCGAGGCCCACCATGATCCGTGCTCGTTGCTTGAGGGTGAGGCAACACTACCCAGCCCAGAAAAATAACCAAAAAAATTGCATGTAGTTCTTAAACAGGGGCACAACAGCGGTTCGCCGTGATGAGCTGTACAGCTCTTGTGTTGGTCCTTTCCCCCGTGGATAAATGGTCTTAACTTGATTCAATATTACTAGCTTAATTTATCTCTTTCTTGTTATCAGGAATTAATTTCATTCAAGAATTATGTCTCTTCACCATAAAACATACAAAATTTGTTCTATTGAAATTTTCAGCTTTTCCTGCCTTGGGAGTCTTTCCGAGTTTGGCGATGTGCATGTACAGTGGGACTCCAGCATGAGCAGCTCCTGCTTTGCACACTGCGAGAGAGACAGCCAGAATGGCATTGGCGCCCAGTTCCTTTTTGTTCTCAGTCCCGTCCAACTCCTTGATCATCTTGTTGTCTATTTCTTCTTGCTGGGTGGGGTCCTAAATAACAAAAATCTTTGCTACATAACAAAAAAATCCTTCAGAGAAAATATCTGAGGCTTAAGAAGATGCAATTTTGTTGTTCATTATTGTCTCATTCACTTCTTCAATACACTGGCAATCGTATTATGTAAGAGTTTACGAGAGTTTCCACGTCCAAATCACAATCATATAATTTTGTGGCATAATTAAATCTGAAAAACTTAAATCAAATAGCCTTATTAATGTTAAAGGAGCTCTCAAATTATTGCATCTCCCAAATTGTAGCGAGGTCGTCATACCATTCCGACGACTACAGGTGCGATTTTGGTGTGGATGTTCTCAATGGCCTTGAGGACTCCCTTGCCCAGGTATGTCTTGGGATCCTTGTCTCTCAGCTCCAGGGCCTCATAGATCCCAGTGGACGCACCACTAGGCACTGCTGCTCGGAACATTCCCTTTTCCGTCTTCAGGTCTACCTAAAACATCAAACCAAACCAATTTTATGTTAAGCTCAATATCATATCACTGACTGAAGACCAATTGGACATTAGGGCTGCAAATTTGCACAGTGAGTAATTTGTACTGAAGCAATAAAGCTTGCAGTTAAATTGGAGATGTTATAGACAACAAAATTGTTGCCGCTTTCTAATTGCATAACAAGATCTTTAAAAATAAAAAATCACAAATCAAATTCACAAATCTTCTCATTTTTGCAAAATATAAGTATAAAGCAAGTATAGAGCTTAACGGATAATCTGCATTCATTAAAGAAAAATTCAACAGTTCATACGAGCAATAGTTCAATTCCAATAAAAATATAATAAGAAGTAGGCATGAATCATATGCTAACCTCGACGGTGGGGTTTCCTCGGCTGTCCAAGATCTGTCTGGCTTTGATAGATTGAATAGGCATGTTGAAGCAATAGTTTATTCACAATTCACTCTGAAAGTCACAAGCACACACAATAAGAATGCGATTACTCAAATTCCAATGACAGCTGATAGAAACTTAAACAAAGACTGTTAAGCTCGTCTCGATGTAAGATGCAGCACTGACCGAACACAGCCACACACCTCCAAAAAAACTCAACTGTGATAAAAGATATGTTCAGTTCGACTATGATGCCTGTAAATAAAACCTTACAATGACCTCGAGCTTTGCTGAGACCAATGAAGACTATCAAGGACAATTGCTTTAAAGCTAGAGTTACCAATAACTCGGACAGATAATTAATTTGAAAGACCATTCGCTAAAATTATTGAGATATTTTTGCATGCACTTCATTTTTATTTCTTGAGACAAAAAAATAGGTCAATTGCTCTTTTCAATTAATTATATCGGACATTTTAAAATTTCAAGATAATTTTGACCTTGAATCTTACACTAAACTATAGTTAATGCCAAATTTTTGGCAATATCCTTTTCGGTCAACGAATCTGAACGAAGTTAATTAATCTAAACTGCTTATTTCGGCGTCGAATTTCATCTTCTCACTGATTTCCATACATAAAAACCATTTCCAAAAAAAGTTAATTAACCTTGAAAGCTCTAGTTTTTTACCAAGTTGCTCAAGATCACTGATATTGCCATCAATTTGGCATTGACTATAACAGATCAATCGTCCCAGTTTGACCTGTGCAAATGATTTCGTTTTTTCAGACAACCTTGAGCCACAAATTCGGTCTGATAAATTAGGTTTTGTATGCAAAATTTTTCTTAAATAGGTCAAATGCTCTATTCAATTCTCTTTGTTTGTCAGAGCTTTTTGCTACTAATTATATTTCAACGCCCTTTCACTGTCTTAAGGCCAGAATTTTAAGACGTTCTCCGATAAATTTGTCAACAAATATCAGTTTAAAAAAACTAATATGAAAAAGATATTTTAGTTACTTATGAGTTATGACTGTCATAAATTTTGTATCTCTCTATAACTTTTTTAAAGAAAAAACTCGTGGATCAAAGTTGCATGCAAAACTCAGACAAAATGGAATGATTGCTCTTGCTAAATAATCCTGTCTGTGTCCGATGTTTTCGCAACTATATATTTAAAAAAGAGCAATTGACCAATTTCGCAAAAACTTTGTATCTCAAGGTTGTGTCAAACATCGTCACTATAGAGAGTTGCAAAAAGTTCGGACAGACAGAATTCATTAAAATAGCAACTGTATGGACATCATCGAAATTAAAACTGAAATAAACATAACGTCGAAAATTAATAAAGCAGAGTTTTGTTCAAAACCTATAACAACAGTGGGCAAATGCAGCTGAAGCCTCGAAAAGTAAACCTTGAAACAGGACAATTTTGCTCAGGATAACTTATGTTTTTTTTGCGATTAATTTCCAAATTTTGAATGATTCGATCAACTTCACTTCCGTTTTTTGGGGCGTCGTAATGTTTTTTTTGGTGAAAACAACTTTGATTTCGATTTTTTACCTAATTTTGCTAACCGTTTTATAATAAAATCTGAGTGTTCATCGCAGTATTTAAATATTAGGCTAGCATAATCATCGAATAATTGACGATCTCGCATTTTGAATTTGGTCTTACAAAAAATTCAAGGTTGTTCGGCTTCAGATTTTGCATGCAAAAAAGCGTCGATAAGCACTGATTGCTCATTTTAATAAACTCTCTGTCCGAACTTTCTGCTACTAATTATACATATAGTTAGTAGCAAAAAATTCGGACAGACAGAATCAATTCTGTCTGTGAACTTTTTGCTACTAAATGAGCAAGAGGTGCTTTTCGACGTTTTTTTTGCATGCAAAATCTGCAGCTGAAAAACCTTGAAATTTTGTCAGACCAAATTCAAAATGCGAGGTCATTGATTATCCGATGATTATGCCAGCCTAATTTTTAAATACTGCAATGAAAATCAAGATTTTACAATAAATCAGTTAACAAAATTAGTTGAAAAATCGAAATCTACCGTTTATGATGTTTTACAAAGACGACCATCGAGGAGTTATTTTCAATAAAAAACAGACTAGGCCGCCCTAAAAAAACAAGCGGAAGTGAACATGATCGAATCATTCAAAATTTGGAAACAAATCGCAGAAAAACATTTGTCACTGAGCAATAATTTTGCTGTTTTAAGGTTTACTATTCGACGCTTCGGATGCAATTACCTGCCGTGATAGGTTCTGAGCGAAAACTCTGCTTTATGACCTTTCGACGTAACGTTTATTTCACTTGTAATTTCTGTTGATGTCTGGACAGTTGCTCTTTTTAATTAATTCGGTCTGTTCGAACTTTTTGCAACTCTTTATAATACCACTTCTTTTAGGCGGATAATAAAACATGCTATGAAATAACTTCATCGAAATTGAACTGTCCACATAGATTGAGCAAGGAATTTTAATTTTGGTTGAAAAAATGGACTGCTGTTTCTTACACGAGGACTTTTTTGTGCAAACATTCTTTTTTATAACAACCATTTCGAACTTTCGAAAAACTCTGAGACAAAAAATTCAACAGCTTTAATACGATTCAACATTTTCATGAAACAGATTTCGTACAAAACAAACATAGCCAACTTACAGTTGGAAAAGAATAAACGCAAGGAAACTGAAAAAAAAACGACTTGTCAACCAAAAAAGAAATCACAAGTCAAACCGCGAAAAATCAAAACTGAGCGTGAACAAATTTCAAGACTTTTTCCTGAAAATCAAACGAAGAAAAAAATCAGCAAGACCTATATAACAGTACTCACAACGTTCATTACTCTTAATAAAAAGAAAAGAAATCTATCATCATTTTTTAGTGAAGTTTACTCTTTGATTGGAATACTAGATTTTAGATGATTAATTGCTAGGCAACACCTTGCCCAAATATTAACCTGAAAACGCAAGCAGTTCGTAATAGTGAGAAAATTATGTCGTTCTACTAAAAACTGGGTAAAAATTGCACAGTCAGTAGGCTCTTTTGCTGGTCACCTGATGTGATATGATATCAAATTAAGAAAAGCAGGTTGCTTTGCAAGTGGCACAGTTAAATCCCACGAGTATTCATTAGAAACAACGTTTAAAAGCAATTTTTCAACTCTTTCTAAATTTTCTGCAAGTAGCTAATTTGAGAATAACAACCAGATGCCTTATAAATGACATACTGCTTCTTGGAAAACAAACTCTTTTCACCCCTCAGTTCACATGTCACACTGATAAGTGTTTCTACCACAAACTTCCAAAATTTTCTGATCTTGTTAACAATCCCCCCCAATGGTACCTTGTAACGAATCTCCCCTCTATAAAGAAAGAATTGAACAATTAAGTGTATACGAATGTTGTACCTTGTTAACTACTTCCCCCCTACTGCAATAGGGGGGAATAGTTAACAAGATCCAAATTTTCTTGCAGTAATGCAAAATTTGGATCAACTGGTTAGTTTTAATTTGATTTGAATAACTTCCCAGCCAGATAAATTAGTTATCACAAAATGGCTTCTCAGGTCAGAAAACTAACCAAGCAGCAATTAAAGCCGTTTAATATAGCTGATACTTGTTCAAATTGGAATTCTTCAAGTATACTTTTAACTGCATAACGAAACTTGACCAAAAATTGAACCGAAAAAGTTTGGACAAAAATCATATGATCTTATGAAAAAGCGTTGTTTAAAGCAATAGTAAATTCGGATCCTTCGCAACTCTTTCCAATCTTACCACAGCAGTATATTAGTGTTGTACTTTTAACACAGTGAATTTCATTTAGACAATTTTTTGGAAACCATATGCTTTAATAAGATACAACACTCGGTCACAAAAAAAAATTAGGTGTAGTTCCTTCAATTTTTTAGAAGGCTTCGAACAAAAACATTTCTATTGTAAAAGAAATCTACAAGTACTTCAAGTTGATTATTGTTCCGACTTAAAAAGCATTAATTGCACTCATTTTACAATTCTGTCAATCTTTGATGATAGCTTCCTGAAAGTTCCGTTTTCATCAAAATTATCATTGATGATAAGGTAGGAAACTGAAGCTCAACTTATCTGCATTTTTTATTGCTTCACTTTCTGGTCGATCTTCAAATGAACCAAAAATTTGATTGAGCTTGTCATTATTAGCATGTCATGCTAACTTTGACTGGTAGCCCACTTATTGTTAAAATTGTTGACAAAGAATCAACGAAAAAAATCAATACACGGTCATATACTGAACCGATCCAATGATTTTCTCTTCGATGAGGATAGATATTATTGGCAAGTGAGCTAAATGCAAGTAAATAGCACAGTCAGGTTCAGTCTCGCATAGAATACCACAACGTAAGATCAATTCAATGAAAAGCCGACGTTTTCAAGTTCCGAGAAAATTCATTTTCCCAGAATCACTCACGTTTCAGATGAGAACCAATTATACCAATTCAACTATTAACATAAACATGATATTCTTGAGCCTTATTGACCGGCAACAGTCTTTTTTGATCTGACGTTAATGTCTGATAAAAATCTATGATAGGCTGGTAAAAGTTTGCGCTTCTTTCGAACTGAATTTGAACTAAGGTTCGCTCGCTAATCAAACGATCCATAGCGTGGCTTCTGAAAAAACATTCGCCAACTTGGTCTGTATAAATCGTAGGGTGCTTATATAGCGGCCACTTTTCAAGTGTACCATCCGCTAATTTCTTGATCGTTCGCTGAGCTAAACGATCATTTTCTTCGACTTCTGGTGGCGCATTGATGTGTATTTCGGCAATGAATTTTGGCAAACAGCATTGGCCACTTAGAACCATTTCAGCATACTTATCACAACTACAATATTTGTCAGTTCTGAACTCATGATGCGTTTCAGGGTCAATTTGCTTTAACAGCGCATTTGATAAGGACGATTCTAATGGTACAAACTTGACATCAAACCTCGATTCGGGAACCGATGGCATGAAACGGTCTGTTAGCAAATCATGCAGCGCCAAAACAAAATGTTCTCGCTGACTTTGCAACATGGATAGACCTTTAGCCGCTCCTGTATCTGTTATTCCGCAGTAGATAACTCCCCCAAAAAGTGAATTGAGGAAACTGCACACAGCTTTAGAGAGGGGTTGGCGAGTAGGTCTTCCACTTTTGTCGAATTTGACGAAGTTGGGTAGCTCCTCGTAGCTTAGGTTTCGGTGACCTTTGAACTCATGGGTTCTATCTTCGTCAAAATCAACGGTTTGACCTGTTGGATAAAATCGATCTGAATCGACAAGAGGCTGATTTTGATATCTTTTAAGAACACTTAGATTCTGAGACGCCATTCGAATAATCTGGAAGTAAAATATGCAACATTGTTTATAATTTTTGAGCGAAGATTTACTGAACAGTTATGGATTTCCGTGGATTCAACTCAGTTTTACAAGAAGCCATCCCATAATTTTGAATATTTCCTGCCGCAAACCCACGCCACATTATTTTTTTCATAAAAACTTTTCAGAAACTAATTTTTAACGTAACTTTTTTTGGACCAGAACACTTTCCAGAAGCGAACAATTACTAAATTGTAACAAAGATAGCCTGTTACTGTGCAAGTAGCATAGAATACTCCGACCATAATTTTAAAAAAATTTCCGCCCATAGTTCACGTTTTTTTTCTTCATATTAGTGTCTTTTTCTGCGTGGTGCGATAAAAGGTTCTAAACAAAAAATTAGGAATATGCAAAAATTGTAAAACTGATCTATAAAACCAAAAATATCAAAAAAATTACATTGCAATTATTTTTTGAATTTCCGAATGAAGCTTAAAAAACAAAAACAACTGTACTTGAGTGAAACTAAGTTTTCAAGGCCTAAATTAAGCAAAAAAAGCTATTGGAAGCCCACTTGCTTGCATTATTCGCTCAAAGTAATACAAAATCCAAAACTTTAAATCTGTTTTTCTCGATACTGGGACAAATTTTTGGAAATTCTTTTTATGTCGTTCGAATCCCGATTGAAAAGGCTTTAATATGATATACCACTCGATCCATTCCCTTAATTTTTTGTGGTACCTGATTTTGCGTGGAAAACAACAAAAAAAGAAAACTAAACGAGGATAGCCGGTTACTGTGCAAAGTAGCACAGAATGTTCCGACCATAGTCTATAGAAAATTACGGTTTAGCAAGTTTTTTTCCAATTTAATGTAGTTTTTTTCTCTGCTTGGTGTGATAAACTGATCTGACGTTAAAATATAATTTAGGCATATAAAAACATCATAATAATATAGGCAAACTGGAGAAAAATGTTGTAGAAGAATAACTTAAAAACTTTTTGGTTTCGAAAATCAGGCTAGAAAACTCAGAACTAATTTTACTTGCTTAAAATTAAATTTTAAGGTCTTAAATTAGGCATAATTCAGGCGTTGAAGGCATAATTCAGCTTCTCGCTTGCTTTATTCGCTCGATCAAGACGAAAAATCAAAAATTTCAAACCAGTTTTTCTCGACACTGGGAAAATGTTTGGAAACTTTTTAATGTGGTCGAAGCACGACTGAAATGTCTTTAATATGATATATCACTCAACCCAGTCCGATGATTGATTGTGGTAGCTAATTTTGCATGGAAAACAAAAAGAAAAAAAACAAACACATCCGGTCGGAACAATAAGACCTGTATACTAAGTCCCTCCCCATTTTCAATGGTCGGAACAAAAAAAGAAAAAACTAAAACACACCCGAATACAAAGTTGCTCCCCATTTTTAAATGGTCGGAACAACAAGAATGGTCAGTTCGCGTAAAAATTTCGTAGCAGAGTCTAACCACAGAAATTTTGGCCGAAAATGAGGAAACTATTTTTAAGTTCGAACGTTTTTTTTTAGTTGGAAGGGGGAATAAAATACTTCAATAAGCTATACAACTCGACCTTATCTGAGTTTTATTTGTGGTACCTACATTGGCGTGAAAACAAAAATCATTCCCTACCTCAACGAGTAGATTAATAAGACGTGTCTCATCTCTCCTCCCAGAAATTCAGGGTTAGAAATTTAGGGTTAGAAATTTGAAAAATCTTCCCCTAAAAATGAATTATGGTCTATAGGAAAAACAATAAAGAAACCATTTAAGGTTCAGCGGACGGAAAATTTTTCAAGGAAAAATCAAGCACAAAAAATTTATAAAAATGATGAAAAACTTTTTCCCAGTTTTTCTTTCTACTCTATTCAAAGTACTATGATTTTGCAGAGGAATGTTCGGTAATCCGAAGCATCAAAAAATTACCAGATCAGTAAGCCAAACTACATAACACATACTTCAATTTTGAAGAGGAGTTTTTCAAGCTGATGATTCCAGAGCGATCTTTGGAACTAATGAACTAATCAAACTAATATTTTGGTTCAATTTTTGTTCAGCGAAATCAGATAATCTAGTCATACAAATCTGAGCATTGCAGTCATGTGACAATGTAAGTCAATGACGCAAAGATTATGCATTTTCGGTTAACTGTTCTAGTCTGTCTATTTTCGGTTTATCGATGCTTCGATCTAATGACCTAAATCGATTTCAGATTTAAAATATTCTGGCTCTTTATCTTTATATCACGTGCAGGTGGGACTTGTCTCGTTACGATTCATCAGTGAGATAAACCCTTCTTGGTTAACCAGAAAAAAATCAGCCCAATTGGCCAACTGAACTATTAAATATGACAATAATGCACAGCGCAGTAAAAATCATGATTTCAGCAATTATGAATAATTTTGATGGAACTTCACTGTCAAGTCAAGTTGTCCAAATCAGTTATCGATTGCTTTGGTAGATGAGAAGTCATCACGCCAAAGTGACTTCTACTAGTCGAAATTCATATCTAGTTAACCATGCATCGATGGAGATTCAAAATTAGACTGAAGCGCCTCTGTCAACCAAGTTTTTCAAACATCACTATTTCCATATATGGCGCTACGAACCCGGATGCGCAAGATGTTAATCGAAGACATTCTAGGTCCGGTCGAGGGCATGAAAGTTTTGATTTTGGACGATTTCACCACTCGTATGATCGCGAACATAATGCGAATGTCCGAACTGAGCACTCTGTATAACATAGCTTCGGTGCAGTACGTAACATCAGTACCAACTGGCCGAAGAGGAGACTTTTCGGCTGTTTACTTCATGATGCCAACTGAACCGAATATCAAAAAATACATCGATGACTTCTCATTGAACCCTTGCCCTTACAGCAAAGGCTATATTTTCCTAACCAACACTTGTCCCGATTCACTTTTCACGATGCTGAAAAAAGCCAGAAGTCCCGTCAAAAAATTAAAAGGTTTCGAGGAGCTCTACTGCGAGTATATTTGTTACAGTGAAAATGCGTTTAGTCTCGAAGACCCAAGTCACTTCAATTTACATTTCAACCCCAAAAAAGTACACGAACGTGGGTACCTAAACATGAAAATAGCCGCAAAATTAGTCACAATATGCGTACAGATGAAACACTACCCCAGTCAAATCCGATACTTCGGAACTGGTTGCGGAACAGCCAATAATGAAATCGCTACTCATTTCAAGCGCAGCCTAAGTCACTTCAAACTCGAAAACAGTAACTTTCACTGGAAATCTGTTAACTCTACGTTGCTAATAGTAGACCGAGGTTTCGATACTATAACTCCAGTTATTCACGACTTGACTACCGAGGCACTAGCTCGAGATTTTCTAGGAATCGATGTCGAAGGAAACGCTGACCAAAAAGACCGACGGGAATCTTACTGTCCGAACCAGTATGTTTACACTGTAAAAACAGGCGCCGACTCCGAGAAAATTGAAAGGCGGGCATTTTTGGATGACAGTAACTTTTTGTGGTCTAAAATCAGATTCATGAATATCAAAGAAGCTGTCAACTTCATGCGATCCGAAATCGACGCACTGCAAAACCAGGAACAGCTGGAACATGGGAAAGTAAAAGATCTTGACTTGACAAAATTGAATCAAATGATGAAAATGTACCCAGAGCAACAAAAGAAAAAAGCCCAGATTGGGGCACTTTCTTACGTTTTAGACGCTACACTTCAAAGTTTTGCACGGGAGCAGATTGAATGTGAACAAACTTTGGCTACCAACTGCAGTAAAAAACCCAAAGAGGGTCGAAACTGGAAGCTCGTTTCCGAGTTGTTGAAAAAAGACGCTAAGGGCGAGTTGAACAATGCTCTGACAATTCACGAGAAAATTCGACTGCTAATACTTTACGCTCGGTCGAAAGCGACAGTGAACGGGCTTTCTCTGAGAGAACTAAAAAGTAGAATGTTAGAATGCGATGTTACTGTTGAGTATTTGACAATAATTACCAACTTATGTTATATGGGTGTTCCGATTTTGAACCAAGACTCGCAATGGGAAAATTACGAGGACCAAGCTCGGGATTGGAGGCTATGGCCAGTGGCAGATAAAGATACCGGGGGGAAAACTGTACGACCTGATCAAATGCCCGAATTTATCAAATGGTGTCCGACTATTTATCACTTAGTTAAAACAATGATTGAGAGTCCCAAAGATATGTTAGACCGCTATCCTTTGATAGAGATCAGGAATAGACCTGTAGTTAAACGTAAAAGAAGAAAGAAGTCAAGGTCTAAAAGGTCTTTGAGGTCCCAACGAACTGTCACTACCGCTGAGTCGTCGTACAAGTACGTGTACGACTGCAACGATTACGAATTTCTGGAGCGAGAGTTTAAATCTTCTTTTATTGTTTTCGTAGCAGGAGGTTTGACTTATGGTGAAATAAAATTGGCGAAAATTCTCACCGACTTGTACAAGGGGAACCAGGAAGTTGCTGTTATCTTTGGGTCAACGCAAATTTTGAATCCCGATGACTTCATTGAAAAGCTGCATAATTTGAACCCCGATGAACCCAAATATAAGGGAGAGGACAAACAGTTTGTCGTCGCAGAGAGCAACTATTATGACAGAAAGTAAACTCAGGTCGAATGAATTCCGGACACCAAAGCAAGAACAGCAAAATACTATTAGATCCAAAGAATTGAAAAACTATTGTTCTGAAATACTTAAAGGAAAAACGACAACTTCAACCAAATTTAGTTTTGCTAGCATTAACTGATCGTTTTTAAACAAGCTAAAGTACGCTTAAAAATAAAAAAAAAAAACTTGACTACATCTTTTTTTCGCCACTTGTGATACCACAAAACTAGCATTGCAAGCTAGCAGACAGAAAAGGAAAGGAGAGCCACAACATTTCAAAATGTTTTTTTTTGCAATGATTATTTCTGGAAAGGATATCCAGAAACACAATCGACAGCGTTAAATGAAACAAAAACAATTACCAAGCGTCAACTGATCCGACAAACCTTGCGTTAAATACCAAGTACCATAAACAAAATTGTTGTCATGTGAAACTATAAAATCTGTTTTTTAGATTTTTAGCAGTGTGCGATCAGCAGGCGAGCATTAAAATTTCGTTTCTCTTGAAACGACCCAAACTTTAGTCACTAAGCCGATAAAACAAGAAGAAATCATTTGGACCGAACAAAGTTTTTACGGGAAAAACAGGAAATTATATAATAGAAATTAAACGTCAATGCTAGTAAAACTAGAGATCGCAGGAGTAAATCTAACCACTTTAAAAAGTAGAATGGAAATTACGTAGATAAAAAAACAATTCTAAGATGTGGCAACTGAGCCTCTAAAACAAAAGCAGACAAATAATCGGCCGACAATTTGTTTTTGAAACGGATTATTTCCCGTTTGAAAAAAAAAACAGGGTTCTGGTCAGATTTGAACCCAGAACTTTAGCTTTTCCAGGCGCATTCGTTCCAGATACCAAGTAATTCTGTTGAACAAGTTGTTAACCCGAAAAAATTCTATATTCTCATTAATATTCTCATAATATTCTCTCTTCTAAAAATCACCTAACTCTCTTCCAAACACCAGTCATCGAACAATCGCAACAAACATATGCTAATTAATTGCCAAATAGAAATCAATTGAAGCAGTGCACAGGTTCTAAAACTGAGCAATTTTAGAAGATTTAGATAGGAGGGAAAATTTTTTTATTTATTTATATAGCACAAGCGTTTGCTTGAGTAATAATATGGATTTCACTGTCCAACAAAATACGTTCTTAAATCATAGCAAAAATTTAGAAAAACTAAAAGCTCAGGTTTTTTTTGAAAATTTCAATAAAAAGTACATTGAAAATTTTGGCGTTATAAATAATGGAAAATTGGGGCCTAGATAGCAAAATTTGTCATTTTATTACGACCACTCACGAAT